CCCTCCTACCTCATCCAAATCCCATCCACTTATTTTCCTATGACGTCACAAAGATGTGGAACGCTATATAAATTCCCTTCTTTAATGTGAAAATTACATTAAAGAAGATTCTCCAGAATCTTTCTCCAGAAGAAAGAAGGGAGAACTCTGCAACCTTCGGGAAAAATCTGAAACATCCTCGAGTTTTCAAGAATGTATTCTCTTGTTTCAGTAAATTTTCACGGTGTCAATCCAAGTTTGCCAGGAGTATAAAAAAAACACGAAAATTTTCGGACTAACAAAAATTTGGGCATATTTGTGGATTTTATGGAAAATTTGAGAAACATTTCAGTAGTGGAGTGGTCAAAGGGTTCAAGTCAATTCCATTCTAGCGTCAGTTCTCGATGAATATCGCAAATTCTAACAGAGTTAGCAAAATTTTCCTAAAAATCTTTTTTGTAAAGAAAAGTGAAGACTATCGAAAAAGATCTTACAAAAATTTCGCTATCTGTCTTAAATTCCGAGTTATTCAACAAAAACTCAACTGGGAGCTAAGTTGACTTGAACCAATTGACCACTTCACTCCTGATTTCTTGTTTTTATGAAAACTATTGCATTTGGTGGCCCGTCTTACGGCGGTTCATCCTTTTTCATGTTGAAATCGATATTTAGGCGATAAATTCCAGAAAAGTCTAGAATATTCGAAACATTTTCGGAGCTCCTAGAAAATGCATTGATGATGAAAGAGTCTCATAAGTAAGCTCTTAAAAGAATCGAGAAGTAGCGACTGCTACACTGTGGATTCTGTCCTAAATATCCGGAGTCAGTAAACATCAAATAACAATCGAGAAGTTTGGATAAATTTTTGGGGTAATTTTACGATAAAATAACGCAAAATTAATGTAAAAATTCCCTCACAAAAACAGCTGTACCACAAAAACTGTCTGGAGCTTCTTAGAAATTTCGAGAACCTTAAATGATTTTCCAAAGTGTTAGCTTCTGAATTAATCGCTAAATTTCAAAAAATTTCTAGAACATTCCAAAGTCTTCTGGAACATTTTGCATCGGAAAATTGCAGAGTTTTGCAGACGATTCGCAAACTTTTCTAAGAATTCTGAACCGTTCTGGACCTTTTCGGAACCGCCTAGAACCGTCCATGAATTTTTTGGGAAACGGATATCTGAACTTATGTATATAGAGTAAGATTGTTTTTACTATACTATACTTTGTTTCAATTTTCTGATTATGCAATAACTCAGAAAGTATCATCGACCATTGTTTTTTTTCATTTTTATAAGCCTCGTGCATTTTTATAAATTCACAAAACTTGAAAAAATGTTGAACCAATGGTTACACTGCTTAAGGTGTATCCTCAGAAAACACGTTTTTCTCAAGATTGTCCCCATGTTTTTCATAGATAATGTTTAGAATAGTCCCCAACTATTGAAAAAAATTCTAGCTAGGTGTACTACGCAGTTTAGGAGATGATAAATAATGAATTGCGGGGTTCTGACACGCGAGGCATACATCAAACGGTTTTATGAGTCCCCCCGAACTAGATTTTTCCATCTTATGAGAAAATGGTTCTTAATGTATTCTTAAAAAACTAATCCATGATAGATTGATAAATTCCGAATACGATGAATTTTTTGTTGAATTTTGTACTTCATAGCTTCTGCAATATTTCAACTCTAGAAAATGGAAATTTCGTGAAAGCAGTCCTTATTCCTTATTGACAAATAATTTCTTATTTGATTCAAACAGTTATTGTTGCCTGCATCAACAACACGTGAGAATAGAAAAGTTCAATAAATTATGAGAATGCAATTAATTAACTTCTTTAGAATGTTTTCCGGAAATCCACAGGGACTAGATTTTTCCATCTTATGAGAAAACTGTTCTTAAGATGGTTTTAAAAAACTAATCCGTGATAGATTGATAAATTCTGAATACGGTAAATTCTTTGTAAAATTTTGTACTACATATTTTCTGCGATATTCAACTCTAAAAAATGGAAACTTCGTGAAAGCATTCCTTATTTGATTCAAAAAATTAATTAATAAATAATTTCTTATTTGATTCAAACAGTTATTGTTGCCTGCACCAACAACACATGACAATAGAAAAACTCAGTAAATTATGAGAATGCAATAAATTAAGTTATTTGGAATTTTTTCCGGAAATCCATAGGGATTAACTTTTCGGTCCGACTGTCTTGGGATATACCTTAAATTTCGTAAATCATTAAATTATGATGAAATGCAGAAAAAGTATATTTTTCGCGTCAATCTATGAAAATTTTTCGATTTTCTTATGTGGATGTTATGGAGAATTTGAGAAAAATTTTGAGTTCTTAAGAAAATAAGCTAATTCTGGAGGTCTTTATTGAGTGTGCTGGTGAGTTTACTACTTCAGTTTTAATGTAAAAAAAAAGAAACAATTAGGTTTTGATTTTTATCACTGATGGAATCGTCAAGTGTCTTCATGACGCAATTTTCAATCGATTGACTTTAATTATTGTTTACACTTACACAATATGTTCATAAATATAATTAAATGAAACTTTTTGAAAATTTTAAGGTTTTGGGTTTTTCGAATTTTTCTTTTCGAAATTGATACCCGTGAAAAATCTGAAAAATTATTCAAATTGAAGTACCTAGTGAATCATTGGAACATAAACTTTTTTAGATTTTTTAAATGATTTTTCTTACTATATTATGAATAAATGATCAGGAAAATCAGAACAGATTCCTACTTCAATGATTTATGTAGTTGAACATTACTAATAAACTTTTTAATTACTACTATCCAGTACTAATTTCAAATTTCTCACCTCAGTCAGTTCTGAGAAAAAAATTCCAAAAACTCAAGAAATCGAAATTTAAAAAAAAAACACATTTAGTTAGGTTTGCGTACATATTATGTATCTGTGAACTAAAATTTGAGTCAACCGATGGAGAACTCTCATGCGCCATGAGGACGCTTCGGAGATTTTATTCCTCTAACGCCTTTTTCTCGTAGTGATCAGCACTACGGATGAAGGCACTAGTGATTTCGAAATTCCAGTGCAGTCTCCTCTTAAAGTGCATCGCATTCACCGTGTCTTATAAAGTCGTCGGAATAGCCTGATTGAAGTTGCCTTGAAATTTACCTGCCAACCCATACAGCCAGAGTCTAATGACGAATTGAGGAATCCCCCCGAGGTAATTGAGAGTAACAAATTCTTGAATCCACCGAAAAATCCGTAATGTAAACGTTATCATAATTTATTTTATTCTGATTGAATGTAAAAATTAAAAAAGAATAAGTTGGAGTTGTTCAAAAACCCCCATGAATTATTAAAAAACTCTGGAAATGTACATTTTTATAGGAAATTATCAGAATTCGAAGACACACAGCTTTTACAATTTCATTGCCAGGAATAGCATTAATTTTCATTTCTCCATGGACATTGGAAAAATATCCTCCTCTTTAAATTCCCATATCCTGATATTGCGTTATAAATATCAGATTAATTGATAGGCGAGATCTTATTGAAAATTTTTCATACGAACAATTGGCATGACTATAAAATATTCATCATCAACGTACAATATTCCTCATACTGGAGCTAATTCATGCTGTGTTTTCACAAAGTGCAACAATGAGAGAAATAAATTCAACAAACAGGGCATTCTCGGTATAGTTCCACTGATTTTACTATCATTTTTTCATCGTAAATAAATGAAATTTGAAATTGCGGTAATAACAAGGGCATGAAAAACCAGACAGGACTTCGTGGGCCATTATCATGACCCAGTGAAGCTATAACAGATAAAATATTCCTTTCAATCCACTAGCCAAGTGGTATCCCATAACATGTCAAATTTGACGTTGTAAATTATGCATTTATATTAAGAACGAGTGATTTTAGGAGAAAATGTCAGAAGACCTTTTTCGTAGCTGGAAAAATTCCCAACAAAAAATAATATGTGACATTTTCCCCTAAATCCACTTGTTATCAAGTTAATTTAATATTTAATAAGATGTGCCTGATTTTTTACTTTTACGTTTTACCACTCCTCTACTGCATTCAAAGTACAAACAAAACCTAAGTGTTTCTACTTCAATCGATAATAGTAGAAAAACTTCATCTGTACATATATAAAAATCATTTTTCAAGTATTTAAAGAGTGTTCCCGGTAAACATGTAGAGTCACTCAACTCAAGTCTCTAACGAATCATACAAACAGTCACAGTAATTTTTCCCTCATTCCATTGCCTTATTTGTATGCACTCCTTGCATGATTTGAGAGATGTTTTTGTTGATGTCAGACACGCGATGTCCATAACAGGACATTAAAAAGTTTAATAGCGAATGTCAAAGTTGGAGAAGTTTTCAACAGTGATGTGCGCTGAGTGTTCAGTGAAAATATTTTTGTCAATGCGCCTTGGTGCGGTCAATCATCCTTGGACTTTGTCTCAGACTCCTGCTGACTGCCCTCATCCTCTTCGTCGGAGTAGTTTGTCGGTGCCTCGCCTGGTTTCAATAGTTTTCCGACGTAGTGATAGCGCTCTGGAAAATGGAGAATATTATGTTTAACGAGCTCACATGGGAAAATTTACAGTAGCTCAGTTACAAAATTTTTCAGATTATTAAAAACTGCAATTAATTTCCAGAAAACTCGATTAAGGCCCAGATGGATTATCTTTCGAACGTCATCTCGATTATTTTTCCATCTTCATATTGTAAAATATATCACAGCTTAAATTGGATTTTACATCACGAAGGAGTCTCTAAAAATTACGATTGTACAATCAAAAAAAGTAGACAAAAAACTGAATATTTTCAAAGAGCGTTTTAAGGTGTTTCGTGTTTAGATCACCGGGGGTGAAACGGAAGGGGAGTCTTATTGTTCTGGAGCCCTGATTCAATCGCTGAGCACGAAATTTTCCAATTTTCAATCTTTCTCCAAAAGTAAACTTTCTTATTTTCTTTCAGATGTTTAAAATGTTTTCTAACGACCCAATATCGAGATTCAAATTCAGACCTGCAAAGTTTTAATAATATAATCATTGTAAAATGTCCAGAAACTTGGGGTCAAATGGGACTCAAATGAAAGCTCTGATGTTCGACTACAAAAATTGAAAATCATTTCACTGGAGAAAAAATAGCCAAAGTACTTGGATATCCTTAAATTGAGATTTTGAAGCCTTAAATTGACATTTTCAAGTTTTAAGTTAAGACTTGAATGTCTCAACTTGAGATATTCAAGTCTTAACTTGCAACTTCCATCAGTCTCAATTTGAGATCGCAAGTCTCAAATTGAAATTTATTTCAATGAAAACAAACATTCAATATCGATGATTCCCGCTGTCTAGATTCCCGTTCAATGGTTTTCAATTTATGAAAAGTCATATCGCTCGAAGCTAGACTCGAACCCTCGCCCGCACGGGTCCGTTTATCCGTCTAAGCGACGCCCTAACCACTTCAACCTTCATTGATCATGAATTTAGTTGTTAATAAACTGTAAATGAAATAATTGTTGCCCGAATATTCCCAGAATGTCGCTTAAAATTTCATGTGAAATTCTAAATTTGTGTACAATATTTCCCCTAATAATGCCGCCGCCCCCAACCTAGTGAACTTTCCATGCATCAAATTCAGGAAAGTATTTCATCACTGATAAGAAAGTTATTGTAATACATTCCCGCGACTGAGAAGTAGAAACCGAATTGTTTGAATTTCAAATTTTTGGATGTTACCTTGAACGTTCAGTCGTGATCTTTGATCCCATAAATATGCAATTGGGATGTTCTATTATAATTTTCCTATCTATTTTCTTTATCAGAATGCACTGGAATATTATTGTCAGATACTCCCCAGTATTTCTCGAACATGCACTTCTTACAATGTGGAATCGACTTTGTTACATAACTTCGTTATCGAGTTAATTACGACATTCGAATCTAATGACTCTGCATTTTCTTCGTCAAAGACAATTTTACTGCCTGAAAAAACGGAGAATCAAGCCTGAAACAGGAGATTTTACCCTTGAACTGCTCTTCCCACTCGAGGATTGAATTCATTTCCGTTGTGTTGAGGTCGCTCAGGTCATCGTATTCATCCTTACCCGGGACCACTGAGAATGTCGCAAGTCCTCTGCTGGCATCCCGTCCACCGAAGGCTGCGTAAGGTCCATCTGTACAGAATTCATCCATCAGGAGGCGTTCAATAAAAATCGCACAACTGTTTCGAAACTTATGAACTGAGGATTAAACTTTGTCTATACTAGTAGAAAAAATTATTTTTTGTGATACCTGCCTCAAAAGTGCACTTTTCGAAACGGATTAGTGTGCGTAAAGCGGTTGTTATGCACACGGCGTGCGCAAATTGAATCCTCGCTTCGCTTTACGCACGCTCTTGGATTTTACGCACTCGAGCACAAAAACAACCACATTATCACATTACCCCCCTACCGTTTCGAAAAGTGAACTCGGCAGGTATCACAAAAAATAGGATGTGTTACACGTGCGTGTGAAAAAGTGGAACTTTACGCACTAGTAACACAATATCCTATTTACTAAAGATGAAAGAAACGTGAAGTTGTTTTATATCGAAAGATCTCGAAACTGCCTGACCGCTAATCCTCAATTCTGATTGGTCAATGAGTCACGTGAAGTATTTTTTCATGCGTGAAGTTGATCTTTATATCAAAACATATCTAAATTGCCTAATTGTTGATCATGAGAAAAAAAACAGTATTTCTAAATTTGTTTACTCACAAATTATTCTTCACCTCCCAAATTTTAATTTTTACATATTTATCACACGCTAAATGATCAATTCTTGCTTTTCAGATTTTCATACATAAATTCTAAACTCTACAAAATTCACGAAAATTCTTCGGTTTCCCAAATAATTCGAGAAAAATCTGTGATCTACGGTTGTCTGGAAAACTGTGAAATTTTCCGAAGAATTCAAGAAATTTTTTCAGTTCTCTAGGGAATCAATTCATAACCCTCCCCTGATTGTTCAACAATTACAGATTTTAATCAGATTATTTTAAAAAGTGAAAAAAAAGAATTAATCGAAGATTAAAAATTATTCATTGATGCTTCACTCTTCATTCTCTTCATTCTCTTAATTCTCTTTAAGTCATTATCAATATTTATAAAACATCTATGAGTATATGAAGTTTAATAAATTCGATTTCTTCATTTTCACAACAAAAAGATGAGCGCGCGCGAAATCGTGCGCATATATCTAGTACTATTTATTGAGATGCTTCTTTCTTGGAACAAGTATTACACTTGAATCGATTTCAAATAAAAAAGATTTTACGGTGAATATCAATTATTTCTTCTTGAGATACATTTACTTGAATCAAATAAAACAGTCCTTGGCGTCAAATCACATGTATTCACCACAAAAATCGAAAAGTTCTATTTTTTTCAAAACTAATGTAATCTCCAGTCGAGAAATTTTCAATTTTCATGAATTGATCAAAAATTCGTACCGAGGAGATGATTACATTGAGGAATGAATTGAATGTTGTTTTCTCGAATGAAGCCGATGTTTAAATTGAGCCTTCCGTACATCACATTGAACGAAATTTGTGATATCCAAGTTTGTGTTGAATTGCCGTAATCTGTGATTTTGTTATTGAAAACTAATGCGATTTTTTTAGTTAAGAAATATAAACTTCTTTCAACTCAACGACATCTTACTACAATCTCAAAGCTTCTTCCGCGTAACAATATTCATCCTGATTAGACATACGAAATGCTCACTTCAATTATAATTTGCTTGGAACAACGTATGATCGTGTTGATTGAGATAACAACGTGTCTAGTCATGAGAATAACTTTGATTTTTGAGTAAACCAACGAATTTCTGGAGTTAGCAAACTTTTGGCTAGAAAGAAATCAAATACTCTCATTATTGCGACAAATAAAAAGAACTTCAATTCTAGAGACGTTCGATTTCTCCCAATCAAATGTATCTCAAGAAGAGAGAACTGGTATTCACTATGAAATCATGTTTATTTGAAAATTGACAACCAAATGATAATTCGTTCAAACAAAATTCTCTTGATAACATTAATTTCTTCTGTCAGTGTGTTCCATAATTTCATAATCTTAGGTCTGAAACATTACGACTGGTGCGATATTTTCACTTCTCCTACCCCCCTCTCGATAATTTATTTGTGGTCACCACGAGTGAAACAAAAGTGAGAAAATAAAAAACGAGAAAAGATTCGTCGGTTGATTGGGCCATCTGTTACAATCCCATGCCTACGCGATTATTTTTATGCTCCGAAGCACAAGGCATACCGATGATATCATCGTTGACGGTAAATTGCCTCGTGAAAAAACCGACAGAATACGAAAGAAGTCAATCGTGCCTATTGTTGGAGGCATGAGCCTCTCCTACGTCCCAAAAATCTCCGATTTCAGTCACGAAAGATGAACAACGAGGCGGCAGACGACACCAGGTAACCACGAATTTTACAGGACTAGATCTGTGCGCGCGCTTTCGCGCGCGCTTATCTTTTCGTTGTGAAAATGAAGAAATTGAATTTATTAAACTTCATATACTCATAGATGTTTTATAAATATTGATAATGACTTAAAAAGAGTTAAGAGAATGAAGAGTGAAACATCAATGAATAATTTTTATTCTTCGATTGATTCTTTTTTTTTACTTCTTAAAATAATCTGATTAAAATCTGGAATTGTTAAAAAATGAGGGGAGGGTTATGAATTAATTTCCCAGAAAACTGAAAAAATTTCTTGAATTCTTCGGAAAATTCCAGTTTTCCAGATAACCGTAGCTCTTCAAAAATTGTTCTCGAATTATTTGAGAAACCGAAGAATTTTCATAAATGTTGTGGAGTTTCGAATTTATGTATGAAAATCTGAGAAACAAGAATTGATCATTTTTGCGTATGATAAATATGAAAAAATTAAAATTTGGGAAGTAAAGAATAATTTGTGTGTTAAAAAAATTTAGAAATACTGTTTTTTTCTCATGATCAACAATTAGGCAATTTAGATGTTTTTTGATATAAAGATAAACTTCACACGTGAAAAAATGAAAAATATAACGCAGAAAAAAATTTTACCATTTGAAAAATTTGAAAATACCGGCGATTTTTTTCAGCGCCTACTTCACGTGACTCATTGACCAATCAGAATTGAGGATTAGCTGTCAAGCAGTTTCGAGATATTTCGATATAAAACAAATTTACGTTTCTTTCATCTTTAGTAAATAGGATAGGATTAAACGACTCGTTCGTCATTCATCTATTCTATTGGATTATTCATCTGCGAATACTGAGAAGGAAAAAGTTTTTTGATAAGAATGTTTTCATCTGTATTAAGAACAGGGATCGGCATCAATCATTAGTTTTAGTAATACTTGGGTTGAAATTTGAAGATTATAAAATGATTGATAATTTAATTTTTCAATTGACTATGAATTAAATAATTGAAAATATGTGATTGTAAATTGACTGTTGGACAAATATTTCTAAATTTCCTAAAGGGGATTCTCGATTAGCCGAATAATCGTCAATCCTCCGAACTCAATTATTGATTGATAAATAATTCGGAATTTGGAAATTTAATTGGTGATTAATTTAATAATTAAAAATTAATGAGTACTATCAACTATTGAATTCTTCAAAATTTAATATGGTTCGAAAAACGACAAGAAGAAAATATCTTACACTGAGAAATAAAAAACTTTGGTCAAGAGATTTTATCCTTGTCCCAAAAACGAGAATAATTGGAGAATAATTATGACAATAAAGTGATTTCTCAAACCAAGTCTAGTTGAATCAATTTATTAAATAATTTTCTAGCCTCAAATCCAAAATATTTTAATACAAAAACAACTTGAGTTGGTTCCAGAAAGCGCTTCTCTATTGTGAACAAATTACCCTTCATACACAGAAAGAAATTTTTGATAAATATTATCCTACCGGTCTATAAAAGTGTATCATGAGTCATCGTTTCCTCATTTCTATCCCGAAATTTAGTAAAAATTGATATTTGATGATCAAATTTTATTCTACGTTGGAGAAATTTTATCCTGACGCATAATAAATTTTACCCTTCCACTCCAATAATTTTTATGTAGATAACAGCGAAAATTCTATAACGGTTGATAAATTTTACCCTAGCGGTACAATAATTTTTACTCTACTGGCACGATACTTTTTATTTTTATCAGGATAAAATTTCTCCAACGTAGAATAAAATTTGATCATCAAATATCAATTTTTACTAAATTTCGGGATAGAAATGAGGAAACGATGACTCTAGGATAATTTTTATCAAAAATTTCTCTCCGTGTATTTCGGACAAGTACATAATCACTTGACGAAAGGTTTCTTTTCTCAGTGTGAGATATTTTCTTCTCATCAGTTTTCGAGCTTTGAGTTTCTTGATACGAGTAAACAAGTACAGCTCAAACAACTTTTTTTCAGTGTACTGTTGGAATTGTCAGCTTGTTTTGTCAAAAAAATCCTGAATTCAAGTCGCGATGAAAATAAAACTGTATGCGACAGCAAAGAGAAACTATTTTTAGAAAATGAAAAATGCAGACTCGTTTAATTGTTTAATTGAATTTCTCGGAAATTCTCAATTCTCGTCAGGGATGAAATAACAAGCTGTAGCCGATAACAAAGAGCAACAGCTTTTTCAGAATTAACGAAAATTGACGGAATCATTTGATTCTACTCTATTCAACCATTTATTTGGTCATTGTTGAAATCTTTATTTTGTCTTGTAAAAAAACTCTCATTTCAGACATGACAAAAATGGAAAATTACAGATGCCAGCAGAGAGAAGAAATTTTTAGAGAACATAAAAAGTCGCAAAAGATTTTGCTTATTTATCTATTACGCGATATTATTTGTCTGTCTATTGTGTATATTTATAGCCTCTCTCGTCTAAAAATGCACATTCCAGTCACGACAAGAATAAATCCTACAGATGGGGCCAAATAGCAACCACTTTTCGAGAATTCAAAATAATTGTGACTCACTCATTCAATTATTTATCATTCTGTGCAATTATTTATCCATCTATTGACGTAAATATTACAAAAATGAATAAATGGGCGAATAAATACATAATGAATAAATAATTAAAAAGCCTGTAGACGACACTGAATAATAATAGTTCTTAACAATGAAAAAAACATGAGCAACTCGTTCAATTAATTATTTACTTGTCTATTTAAGAAATATTGGCCTCCCTTCGCCATAAGTTCATAAGTTATTTATTGAAGATGTAGGACCTCTCGGGGTTTTACATTTTTGCACCCTTCCCATAAAATACAATGTTATAAAAACAGTAATAGTAACGGATATAAAAGAAATACAATATCTTGACATTTGAATCTCACAGTTAATAAAATATGAATAGTTTAATATTTCACGTATAAAAAAATTTAACAGAAAAATCTAGTGCTTTCTTTAAGAAATTCTGTTGAATTTATAGTGTTACTCTATAATAATTCCACAGAAGTTCTATTAGCATTCTATTGAACGATTCTATTTGTTTTTTGCGCCAATTTTATAAAGAATTATACAACATCCCCCTTTTTTAATAGTTGAGATTTTTGTTGAGATTTTTTCTATAAGAATTCTTGGGGATGATTTTTTGTGTGAATTTTATTATGAAAAAAAATCGAAATACAGCGGAAAATACTTGGAAAATTTGCGCCCAAGAATTTCAGGAAAAAAATTTTGAAAAATGTTAAATGTTAATGTTCAATGTTTATAGATATTGGTTTTTCTATATAACTGATTCTGCTGAGATTTTTTCGGTAAGAATTCTTGGGCATGATTTTTTCATGGATTTTATTGTGAAAAAAAAAATAGAGATCCAGTGGAAAAAACTTGGAAAATTTACACGCAAGAATTTTTATAAAAAATTACATCATAGGGTTGCATAATGTTCTACAGAAATGGCGCAAAAAACAAATGTAATTTTTCAATAGAATTATAATAAAACTTCTAGAGAATTGTCGTACAATGTAATTTCAATAGAATTTCTCAGTGAAAGCGCTGGGTTTTTTTATTAATTTCTTCATGCGCGCTAGAGCATGGCCCGTTACCGAAGAGGACAACAGACAGCAGCTAGCCTCTCTTCTCCAAATAAAAAGGTCAAAATTCTAGTCCTCAAACGGATGAAACCTGCAGAAAACCACCGACAGCTAACTTCAAACCCGATCCAAAAAACTTGAACGACTCGCGCAAAAAATTTAACAGAAAAACTTAGCGAATTCGTCAGAAAATTCTATTGGTTTTCCATTGAACTTTCTATTAGTTTTGGTCGATTGTATTGAAAGGTTCAATAGAAAATATTCAATAGAAAAAGTCGATAGAATTCGATTTTTCTGTGTAACTTATTCTATTCAGATATTTTCTAAAGAATTTCCTCGACTCAAATTTTCTAAGTTTTTTTGCGTCCGAATGGAGGCATTGTAATCATTCAAATTCAAGTTTTGGTTTTTTCGAGGTATATCGACCCATTATGATCCAAAACGGCCGAAAGTGCCAAATTAAAAAAAAGTAAACAAATTTTTCTTCGATTGTTCACTAATGAATCGATGAAATTACATATTTTTCCCCCTCAAATGTAGGTATTGTTAAGCTCTATCAATCGCCATTACTTAAAATTTAATTCATTTATTATTTTCTTCAATTTCAAAATTTTTTCAAAATTCGTTTTTTCCATGATAACAAAAAAAAATGTTCTGAATTGACTGAATGTTGGCTTAAAAAATTTGTTTGGTTGTCCTTTTGACCGAGTTCGAAGATGAAGGCGATAGCAATAATCTTCATTTTGATTTATTCGAACGTTTTCAAAAATTTTGTATTGTTTGAAAATCAGAACTCCGGGGATATCTTTGAATATCATGCTTCAAATGAATTCAATCATAGCTTAAAATGTTTTATTTAATGCCATTAAGGCCCGGGTGTACTATCTTTCGAATGTTATCTAGATTTTTTTTATCTTTCGTAAACCAAAATTGTCATTTGAGTGGTACATCATGTAGAAATTTCCAAAAATTATGATAGAATGATTAAAAAAATAGAAAAAATTCTGAACTTTTTCAAAGAGCGTTTTTAATTGAGATTCAGACTGAGTTGAAAAAAGTGGAAATTACAAATATCTGATTCGCTGTGGCAAATGATCTATTAGCTGTCATTTTCCATGGTGGATAACAAAACACTAACTCCTTCTGGGAAGTGACAGCTAGGTATCTCAATTTTCAAAACAGTGGTATGTAGTCATCGGTCATTTTTATATGATAAAAGTGTAATTAAAAAATTCTCCAAAATATTACAACTTTTTTCAAAGAGCTTTTTCCGTAATAAATGTCTCTGTGCAATGTGGGAGAAGATTTACAAAATCAGTCTTCCCCCTGCATGATAGTGGATGACTGGCCGTCATTTGTCACCGTAAATCAGATACATTTTCCAATTTCTTGTTATTCAACTTATTCTGAATATAAATTAAAAATGCTCTTCGAAAAAATTAAGAATTTCTTCTACTTTTTTTTGATTATTCATTCATAACTTTTCAAAACTTCTGCATGATGCAGGACTGAACTGACAATTTCAGATGTCGAAAGATGAAAAAAAACCATCGAAATAACGTTCGAAAGATAGTGCACCCGGGCCTTAAGTCGAAATTAATAGAACATTACGATAGCTATATTAGTTGATTTGTTTCTTATGATCATTGTTGAAAATTTTGAATTCTTCATGAATTTCCCTGAAAGGGAGCTTTCTGATATTTTCTTCAAATGTGATGTTTCAAATTCATTCAAGTCCGTGTAAATAAAATTTTCTATTAACGTGTTATCGAAGGGCTGAGGGGAGAGATAGAACTGTGAAAAAGACAATCGGTTGTATAGAAGAAAGGGATAATAATAAAATGAATTCAAAACCAGCTTAGCTGGTACATAGACGTATATATTATAAACTGACAAATTATGCGTAATTAACGCCTCTAAATTAAATCAAACTACAGAAAATATCTCAACAGAATAAGTTGCACAGAAAAATCTGATTCTTTTTCCTTTTTCTGTAGAATATTTTCTATTGAACATTTCAATGGAACCGGCCAAAAACTAATGAAAAGCTCAATAGAAATCCACCAGAAGAAGAACTTTTTCTGTTAAACTTTTTCATCCGCGCTCGTTCGATCACCCATCGATCAGCAAGGTCATCCTGTGACGCAGATGACTCTACCTAAGTAATTTATACCAATCGCATGACCAAGCACACATCCACCGATTGGACTACAAAAAAGTCCTCGAATGTTGCATAAATTCGTCACAAGTAAAAGATCCAACTCATCGAGTTTAATGACGACAGATCGTCGGGAGAGCTCTCGTTATCGCCCCCAAAAGTGCAAATACGACTTCGCCAGTGCGGTGTTATCGTAATCTCAACAGTCGAGATAATTTCCCCACAACTGGCACGAGAAGAAGAACACGATAGCACGTACCTGATAAAAATGCACTAGAATAAACAGTGGCGAAAGCTCACCTGGTCCATAGAATCTCCTGCCTTTCGTGACATCATAGACACTCCCATTGACAGCCACAAGGATTCTTCCATCGGCTCCCTTGCCATCATAACTTTTCAACTCCTCAACAGTAAAATCAAGCCTGATCCTGGGTAATTCTCTGAACTCAACTGCCGGCGCCTCAGCCTTCGTTTTACTCTTCAGTATCTTGTAAACCAAAAATGCTATAACGCCCACGAGAATTAAGTTTATCGGGCTTTTGACAATTTCGGCGATGAAACTCGCTATGAACGACTCGTCCTGGGGACTCGTGGAGGATCCGGATGAGCCGGAAGCCGGCGAGTCAGCACGTTCGGCCATCTTGACCACTGGTTCGGAGACACAGTCCAATGCGCGTGTTCCAGTTTTTTTTTCAACACCGAAATTGAAACGAGATTGAAAATAAAAGGATTATGGGTGGGTTTGGAGTGGCTGCTAAATGCGTCGCACACAATTACACACGGGAGTATCACGCAAGACTCGAGTGGAGACGTGCCGTTGGGTTTGAGCCGCGCGGCGCGGGGGGAGGGGCGACGAGCAGTCGCTCGTTGACGTTCGTTTAGTAAACAACGCCACCAAATGGTGGGAGCCGGGTACTACAGGTGCAGCGGCAGCGCAGCTTCAGTGGTGACTGATATGACTGCTGTTGGACACTGGCTACTGAATGAGGTGGGCCTGACTCGGGTGGGTGTCATTGGATTTCACCAGGAGGGTACGTAACGTAGCACGCAATTACCAACGTGAGCATGGGCGCACATTGTTGATACTTGGCATTATCCCCTCTTGGGGACAGCGACTGTCCCCACTCCTGTGTTTTCATTTAGGGGCGGGTGGGGTAATATGGACACCTGGGGTAAAATAGACACTCAAAGAATTTACAAAAAAAATTTTTTTTTCAAAATTTAAATTTATTAAGGGTGCCAAGTGAATTTGAAAAAAGATTTTAAAAAAATTTTTTCTTTCCCTCCATCATTGGAGAAATATTCATCCATCCGACGAAATTTCAAATTCGCAACCGGAACTAGACATCGAGAAAATAAATGCGGAAAATCCTCTATTTCGCGTGACGAACCTCGAGAAAGCATGGGATCAAATGGGTACGGCGGGTTGAAATATCTCTCTTATTCACCCCGGTACCCCATTGTTTTTTGTCGCCATCACATTGAACACATCATTCCCCATATCTTCAAATTTTTTCAAATTTTTCTTGAGTTCCTAGGGGGTTGAAACGTTCAATTTAATCGAAACTCCATAAGGGGCCGTGTATAAGACTGATTTTGTTTATTCAATTTCTCGATATCCATAAGTTATAAAATTTTAAAATTGTCACCGATGTTCACCATCTGTCTAATACTATTAATTTAAAAAATTATAACTTTGTTGGTGAATGTCAATTTTCAAGGTCATCGCCAAATTCACTTGGCACCCTTAAGATTGTTCCATTGGCCGGGCAACCTGGGCACCTGATAAATCCATATAGGATGGACTAAAATAAAGACCCGAAAATGTTGATCCTATTCAAAAAGTTAAAAAAAAATTCAACAGGCATTTTCCAACAGAATCGTATGGGTATTTTTTATAGGAAGAAATTCGAGTTGGAAGAGATATTAACAAATAAATTTCAACTCTATTAAATTTTACAGTGAAGTTTGAAATATAGAGTAGCTTTGGATTTCCTGTTTTACTATTGAAATAACTTTGAAATTATTTATTTTTTCAATGAACAATTGCACGCACTATACAACTGACCTTTTGTCCATTTCCGAAATTTGTAAGATGTCTACTCGTCTATTTTTCTACTCACAAACGAAACCATGGGGGGAGGGGAGGATAAATGAGCAAAGAAAAATTTGGTTTACCACCTCCCACGACGAAAATAAAAAATGTTTTTTTTTTTAATTTGAAAATCGCAGTCATGACTACGATTACTACTACGATGACTACTAGTGTTTCTGAAATTGAATAATATTGTTGAAACATAAGAAATTGAGGAAGAAATCAAGATGTCCACTTTACCCCATTTTTGCTTTACTTTGCAACTCCTACGACGCAGTCTTATGACAATGTGTTTGTTTTTATAATCATTAAATGAACTCGAAACAGTAGAGCTGATCAAATTCAACTCATTATTTAAATCTGGTGTTCATATTGCCCTACCTTTCCCTACCTAATTTTGTCAGATTTTCAACTTAGTTGAATGTTATCAGCATCATTATTCTTTTTATCCCTTTTCTTCTATACAACGGATTGTCGTTTTTACAGTTCTATCTCTCCCCTCAGCCTCAGAATTTGAAACACTACATTTGAAGAAACCATCAGAAAGCTCGATTTCACTGAAATTCAGGAAAAGTCAAAAATTTTCAACTGTTCCGTCGCGGAATTGTTCATCGTGTTGAGAAAAATTTGACATCGGGAAAAACCCGAGATTTTAGAAAAGAAATTACTTCGGAGAATTATTTTATTACTAAAACTCGTCGTCTGTCGCATTGAAACTTCCAAATTTTAATCCTCCTTTCATTCCGAAATATTTCAACTCGACAGTTGTGAAAACCGTAGTTTCGGAAATCTTTTCGTGCCAAATATTATTTCTTTTATTACTGAACTGTAATTTCTTTGTGGCAGAAATTTTAATCCCCGGAACATTCTTAAAATTTGAAAACCCTTTCATCGTTCTTCAAACCCAGGAAAAACTATTTCATTATTCTACTTTCTTATTACGGCCGATTATTGTCTCTTCCGTCTAGGATTCTCGGGTCATTTATGATTTTATAACGGTCACTCAGACCCTTCGGGCCAGACATTTCCCAAACCACCCACTCCACCCTTAAAAATAGACAAACCAATGAAAATATCCTCACACTTTTCTCGACCAATGACAGCTCATCAACTTTTCGGTTCCGTTCTTGCGGAATTATTTTTTACATTCACACCTTCCGTAATTTATCACTCCGTTCGCAGTTCATATTTTTAATTTTTATCGTTTTAAAAAATAATATCAAGTGTATTATTAAAATTGTGAAAATAGATAGAAAATTTAATTAAAAGTGACTTGTGTTAGTTTTTTCATGAACATTGACTTATTGATATTTCCAACGGTTTGTGTTAAAGAAAATGGTTTTTTTACCAAACCAAACACAACAACATCATAAAAATCAAATCAACCAATATAACTATCGTAGTCATCTTTTAACTTCGACTTAATGACATTAAAACAAACATTTTAAACTATAACTGAATTCATTTGAAACATGATATTCAAAGACATTCCCGGAATTCTGATTTTCAAAAAATACAAAATTTTTGAAATTTTCGAATAAATCAAAATAACGATTATTGCTATCGCCTTCATCTTCGAACTCGGTCAAAGGGACATCCGAACAAAATTTTCAAGCCATCATTCAATCAATTCAGAACATTTTTTTTAGTTATCGTGGGACAACCGATTTTGGAAAAAATTAAAAAATTAGAAAAACTAATCTATGAATTAAATTTCAATTAATGGCGACCGACAGGACTCAACAATACCTATAATACCCACACTTTTACTATGAAATAATGATCATTCACGTAAAACTGTTATGAAACGTGAGGTGCAAATCAGCTGTCACTTTTATGGAGAATTAAATCAAAGTGACAGTTGACAATCAAGAAGTAATTTTCATTAAAGTGATGGTTGATTTGCACCTTAATGTTCATAACAGTTTTACGCGGCGAATAGTCACCATTCCGAAGTGAAAGTAAAATCAAAATTTTTAAATTTTTTAAAAACATTTTTGAAAGAGCCTTTTTTGGATCAGTTGCCTACGTGCAGTGTATCAAAAGATTTACGAGTTCGTCGTCCTCCCCCCATGACGGCGGTTGATACGATGCCATTTGCCACAGTAAATGATACATTTCTAATTTTCTCATTTTTTGCATTAGGTATACCTCAATAAACTGGAATAGGCTCTTTCAAAATTTGCCAACTAAAAATTTTTTTTATCACACATTTTTATTTTTTTGGAGTTCTCTGCGTCATGCAAAACCGAATGGACATTTCCAGATAAAAAAACTGACAAAAAAGGATCTAGTTTCGAACAATATTTTTTGAAAGTGATGTTACGTTCAGTGAGTGGCCGAACTGGCTACGATGAACACTCGGGCCACTCGGGTTGTCGAGTTGACCCTCTCCGCGTCGGCTAACTTCTCCAGTTGAGCTCACGAGGAGTTCGCTCACTTAGGGACGATGATTGGGAACAAACTCAAGGAAATCTTCTCGAATAATAACACCGAATTGATTCGAGGATGATATAATAAACGGCCTCTTTTAACTTCTTACAAGACAGTATAATCGAACCGGGTTCACCGTAGCGCGTTATTTAAAAAAATGTGTGTTCAACTTGTTCGAGGTTCTCAGAGGGAGGACCGACTGTCCTGTTTCGCCTCTTATCGTCATCTGTCTTTGTTTTGGGGCTACAACTCGTTGTTAAAATGCAAGTTAAGCAGTCTCACGGTTTTTAGAAACTACACGCACGAAAAAATTTAATAAAAAAACCTATCGAATTCGTTAATTGGTTTTGTAAAACCAAAAGAAACCCCACCCCCCTCCTTGAGATCCTGATAAATATAAACTTCGTAGATTTTTAGACTTCTTGGATTTTTTTTTTCAACTTTCCCAAAAAAGTATCTCAAAATATTAGATTGCAATAACGCAATTTCATGTCCTTTTATTTGTACATTTTCTACAGGTAAATCTCCACTTGCGCCTTTCTCATTAACCATTATTTATCATTGTCAAATGATATTTACAAATCATTCTTGAATGAAGGAAATATTAGATGAAGGCACGTGAATGGAATTAATGCGATGGCTTGTACTTTGAGCTGAATATACTGACACTGGAAAATCGTTAGACGATTCATTTTTGACTAATTATTCCGAGGCAGGAAAGATCAGGGCAAAGGAGGCTTCTCAGTGTTGCAACACCTCGATAATGACATAAAATGAACTCCATTTTGCCCTGCTGTCTGCCATTGCTTACAATATCTAGGGTGAATCGTCCAGTGTTCGAACGAATAACGTCACAGTTATTTTTGACGTAGATTTAAAAATATAACCAAGTCGAAAATTGATTTAAAAATAATTATAACTCCCCTGTACATCTCCATAGATAATAGAAAAAAATATTATGGACATTAATTGACGATACAATTAATTATATGAATACAAAAAGAATATGCTATTGGCGGCGTGTCATCGAAAACTTTTTTTTCCGCTGGTAATAATGTAACTTGGACATTTTCAATCATTACAATATCATTTGGAAATGTCATAATTTTATTTTTCATGTATAATGCGAGGAATCTCTATCCTCTACTAATTTATTTTATAGAAAAAGTACCAATTAGTTCGATTACTGGTCTGGTTCGAACACTGGTTGGTTCATCTATGAGACCATTGAAAATATTAAATAAAGCAGAATGAAAAATTGAAAAATTAATTCTCTAAACAATTAAATTCAACTTCTTAACTTAACATTTTTCTTTAGGTACGAGTCTTGAAAATCATAACACAAAAAATCAGACGCAACGAAAGTCTCAATTACGCACTTTGGGACGAAACTGGGATATGTACAATCCTAATGCTGTGACTTACATTATGTAACTTCTTTGTACGGTGTACTAAAATATAGGTATTCTCGACGTGGACGGATTGTTTCATTTTACACTCTTATAATGTGGCTACCTTCAAAAATACGAAGACAAATTTCTTATCTAGATATGAGATCTACTCTTATCCTCTTGGAGATCAAGGTATGGACGGATATTCACGTTTTGGGGGACCATTTTTGGATCCACTTTCTCATTGCACATTGGACAAGTCTCTTCGGTCTCAACGATTCTGAAACAAATAAGATGATACATAAATTTAGCTTTTCAGAAAGAAGTGATTTTTTGGTGTAACATATTGACAGAAATTGAAAAAGTTAGGGTGATCAGGCCAATTGCTGGACGGTTAAAGGAAATTCGAGTTTCGTGGTAGGATCTAAAATAAAAGAATTACCTAAATGGGGATATGATGGCTTCCATACCCTCAAGAATGTTTTAACTAGCAAAAAAAAATAGTTTAAAGTGAAAATAACAAAACAAAGAATAATTAAATTGAGAAATAGTTGAATGTAGCCGAAACTCCCAATTTCTGGACGACTGGGTTATTTTTTTCTTATTTATTAAATGTTGATCAATAGAATAAAATTGATCACATGATTATACACAAGTGATATTATGGAGAGGTGAAATAATCAATACAATTTTCATTTTATTTGTGGAATATTCAATGCAAGTTGAAATCGTCCAGAAATTGACCTGCTTACCTTATTTATCATTTTCCGAAAATCTAATTTTTCATGTTCGTGAGAAACTCTGTCATACTTCTGACTAATGTATGAAGTGAACAATTTTCTGCTTCCGAATGGAAGCATTGTAATTGCACAATTTTCATATTCTCTAATTCAGTAGCGAAGCGGTAAAACCGTTCAAGTCGATTTAGTCCTTAGCTGAGTTTTTGAGAAATATCTCCGAATCTGAGGGAGATAAGGAAATTTTCGTAATAACCTTTTGTGTAGAGCTATTTGAGGGCTACAAAAAAGATTATGACAAACATTTAGCTATCTCCCTTAGATTTCGAGATATTGAGTGAAACTTGGCTAATAGTAAAAATCGACTTGAACCGTTTTACCGCTTCGCTACTGAATTTTTATTGGAAATCGGAGCCTAATTTATCAGGAGTGCACCCCTTCAATGATTATCAAACGATAATCCATACACTAAATTCCATGAATTGCACTCAGTCTAAAATACGTTGGAATAACGACAAATCCCCATACCTCAAAAATTCACTTCTAATCGCTGGGAAATCACACTGAGGACAAAAAGTAAAATCATTCTCCACCACATGTCGACCCTGAAACCAATAAAACAAAATTAGTCCTCCCTCGCCATCCACTCACAAGAAAAAAATTCATAGAAAATGCTAGCACATCCCCTAGATTCTACGAAATTCTATTCAATTTCTAATGGAAATTATTAGTTTTTCGCTTTTCGTTTTTTTCAATGGATAAATAGACAAAAGAAAACAAAATTCCACTCAATTTTTATGAAAACCAAAATTTCAATGAAAGTCTCAAATTACCCTTGCAGGCCCCTATCAACAAACTAACTTATTCCGAATTTACAAATGGTCATTTAAAAAAAAACACCTAATCAAACATTCATGTTTCACATCAAGGATCGTACTCAAATGATCATGAAAAATGGAAATCGTCTAGTATCCTGTACAAAGATTGGCCTATACCTAACACGCTATATTTTCCTATGAATTTTTTCCTCCCCCAAATTTCCTTCAACCCCTCACAATTACCGTGGCTATGCAAAACGGGATAGTGTTTTTACACTTATCACAATTGATATCCGTCTCTGGAATTCTATTCTTGCAGTACGGACAAGGCGTCAATGGCTCATCCTCGACCTCATGGTCCCTGGTCTTTGGTGGCTTCCTAACTATGGCCTCAATTTTCTTACTGTACTTGGCATCCACCTGCATTCTGTATTCCGGCCGCATGAGCATTGCGGCAAAATTGAAAGCAGCATGTTTGAGTCCAGCGCGATGGCACTCTATGACAGTCGAAGTTAAAATTGGCACAATGTGCGATGGAAATTTCGATATATTATTAGCAACCCTAATGAGCATTCTAGCGCCCCTCAAATGATCATTCCTCTTGACATGCAGCCTCACAAGAATATACGAGTGCAACAAACACAGATTATTCCTCATCTCCTGTGGTATATTAATATTATTCCTCTTCAGCTCCTGATACATTCCAAAGAGAACATCATGAGCATTCCTGTAATTTCCGCTGATCTGCTCCTCATTAGCAATGATGATGGCTGTCTTGGCAGCCTCTCTGTACTGCTTTCTCGCCATATAAAGTCGAAACAGGTATTTCGGGTCTTTCGGTAGTCCATCGCCCCCCAGCAAGAAATCAATGAGCTGACTCGATAATTTCTCATCCCTCGAAGAGGCGACTGTATCGATCGCCAACGAGAGAGCCTCATCGTCGTTCGCAGCTAGATGCGAGGCCTTCAGCAAATGCCTCAACGCTTTGTGATACTCCTTGGCATAGAAATAATACTTCCCAGCAAGCAGACTATTCTTCTGAGACTCAAAGTGAATGGCCAAGCTCCTGAAGTCCTCCAGCCTCACGTTGTCATCATCCAGAGTGTTGATCAGGATCTCCCCATAAAGTTCCATCTTGCCATGTTGATTCGCCAGTTGAAAAGCCTCATCATGACAATTGGAGAGAATTAAAAATTTAATTGCTGAATTGTAGTCGTTCATCCTCTGGAAGAACCTCGCAACCATCTTCGCTCCCTCGATGCTCTTCGTCTGTTGAACGATTTCAACGCTTCTCGCTGGATTGTTCAGGTGCTCCAGGTTTATCCTGATGATGTTATCGTAGTCCTTAGCGGTTTCATAAGCCCTCGCAGCCTCCTCGTACCTCCCCTCAGACTCCTTGGCCTTTGCATACTGAATATTGATCTTTGGTGATGATATTTGCGACAACAATTGCCCGACTTTGATCCAGTTCTTTAGTTTAATGTAGGCAGAAGCTGCTTTGTCGAAGTATTCAGCTTTCTCGTAGAGAATGGCAGCCTCGTTGAACTGCTTCATAATCTCCAGAATCTCTGCGCACTCCCTTCGAAGATTTCGAGGACTGTCCGGATCCATGGCTATGCTGACACCTCTTCGAGAGTCTCCACATCGAATTGACGTTCTCGCGATGCCTCCCAGGCACTGCATCCTGTGGCTCTGCTCCTGGGGGCTGGAGATCTTGTCGCTGTCTGCTAATCCTCGCTCGTAATTTATCAGAGCCTTTGGGTAATTGCCAGTCAGCTCCAGCTGCTGTGCATACTCCCTCGCGATGGAGGGAATCTCGTCTGGCTTCAGTTTCTGGGCTAGAGCCAGTGCCTGCTCCCACTGCATCAAATCCCTCCTGAGGTATAGAGCCTCAACAGGTTCAGACGACTGGAGGAAGAACTTCTCAGCCTGATTGTAATCTTCAAGAAGGGTGCATACGTGCCCTGACAACAACGCAAGCTCCTCGATGTCCTCCAACTTCTGCAGAGCCCAGACCATAGAAATCTCCTTGATGTGACGATAAACCCTCATCGCCATTTCAATCTCTAAATTAGCTAGAGCACTCTTTCCCAGTTTCACCCAGTAATCTCTGTCATTCAGCATCTCGCAGGTGCTCCAGGCCTGGGGGAACCTTTTGCACTTGATCTGGTGCTCGAGGATCTCGATGATTTTCCTGTTCTCCACGATGTTGCCAACGTCCTCGTGAGACGACAACGTTATCTCCAGTAGTTTACCCCCAGCCATTCCCAGGGTCACTTCCCCGCTGTACATCAACACTGGAACAGTCTCCGATGGTAATTTCGTGGTGGATATTTTCACGACTTTGGTCCCCTCGATGTGGTACTTCGTGTAAACGTAAGTCGTGATTGTCGTTCTGTTGAATATTCCGAATACGAATCTCTCGAAGACGTTCTGGTCCCAGATGACACCGTCCATACCGTCTGGGGGTTCTGGCACTTGGGAGACAATCTCGTTTACAGGATCGTAGACGTATGCGTCATGCTTCTCGTCGATGAAGCACATGATGGTACCGTTGGCGTCCAGGAATATCTGTTTGATCCCAGTGCTGTGGGACAGCTCAGTCGAGTGGTTAAAAACCTCCAGATAAAAGTTGACAATCTTCCCCATGTCAGTGCCAAACACCAGGAAATCGGGGGACAAAGCGTGACACGTGATCTTCCCCTCGGTGGATCCAGAGTCTGAGAATATTTTCGAGTCCTTACCCTCTTTGATTAATGCAGGATCTGTCTTGATGGTGTGCAGTTGTATTTTTCCATCGAACAATACAGACGCGTAAATTTCGTTGAGGCGAATGCTGTCGACAGTGGCGAGGTAGTCTCGTTCGAAGTGAATGGCCCTGTCAGTCTGTCCAGCTGAGAGATTCCAGAATAGAGCTCGGTTGTTCAGGGCGACAGCCACATGCAGGGGGCCAACAGCCAGGATTGATGGTTCGATAATTGTGTGGATCAACTGGGGCTCGGGTTTGTCTTTATCTAGGACGTAGAGGTGAACAATAACTTCGGTTAGGCTCGATAGAATGGCTATTCTGTTGCCACAGACACTGATCAGTTTGGGAATCTCCGCGAGATAGATCAGGACGTTGCCACTGTGGGTGACAGCAGCCAGCATGGTTCCATCTGCTGACCACTCGAGACTGCTCACACCTGCCTCGCCACTCACCACGATTACCTTTTCAGTTTCCTCGAGATTCTGGATACTGTGGATTTTTAGTGTATTGTCCCCACAGGTGGCTACTTTGCCAGCAGCCAGACTCAGGGAAATTCCGTTCAACGAGTCTCTGTGATTTTTTATTTGGAATAACTCTCGACCGAGTTCTTTGATGTGCGTTGAGATGGCAATTAGGTAGCCTGCCTCGAAGCCCAGGAGAATGTAACCGTCTCCGTACCACTTGTATGTGACGATGGGGCCGTAGAGCTTCTGGAATCCAAGGTCCATGGGGTTCTCCGGGTCTTTTATGTTGTAGAGGAAGAGCCGGGTTCTTCCAACAACGAGGGAGACTGTGTTTTCTCCACTCATCCTGTGCTCCATCTTCATTTCGTTGAATTGGAGGTCCTGGGGGTCCCCGGGGAGGACTATCTCCTTGCGTGTGTCACCCTCGGCGGTGCTGATTGTCAGGATTCTGTCGTCGCCAGCTAGCGCCAAAACACCTTGAAAAAAGGACAGTTGGGAATTTTTTAATTTCAACTTTTTTACTACACTAGCTAATTAAACTACAGTAGATTAATTTATACTATGTTATTTTAGTTTATTTTGTTTTCAATTACGTCCGCACAATTAGGTTAATTTAATTTTATTCATTCTTATTGTTATATATATTTTTATTCCTTAATTCAGAAGTTAGAATGTTGAATGAAGAGGAATTCCCCATAAATCACGTGAGAATACAAATCGACAGAAATTTTTCGATCATCATACCTAAGATTCAAACATTTTCAGTTATAAAATGTGTCAATTAAATTGCGTGAGACAAATTTGAAAAAAATCATGAATATTTAGCGTCATTGAAATTGTATTTTGCACAGAATTATTATTTTTTTAAACATTCGTTGTTGATAAAGAAATAATTAAAATTGTTTAAACTTTCGGAAACCTTATTTTTAAGGCATAAAATCGATTTCTTTTAAAATTCTGAATGTAAATAAATTTGTTACGATTCCGAATTAATGATTTTCACGGTGGAGAATTGATTGCTCATAAATGATTTATAGAAAATGCTCGTCATTTTCGAAAATTGCAATTTTTTAATTATTCCATCAATCTTACGACAAAAGTAACTTTCTAATTTTATTTTCAAATTTTTTAAATGTTTTCTAACGGTTGAATACCGAGATTGAAATTCAAACCTGCAAAATTTAAATAGTAAAATCATTGTAAAATGGCCGGAAACTTAGGGTCAAAGGGGCTCAAATGAAATCTCTGATGTTCAACTGCAAAACTAGAAAAGCATTTCACTAGAGAAAAAATATCCGAAGTACTTGGATATCCTTAAATTCACAATAAACTGGAGTCAAACTTCTGTACTTATACACTGAGAGAAAAACAAACCAACAATACCTGACGTTGACAAACAAGTCTTGTTTGGGCCAACAAAATCGCTAGGTGAAAATTGCCAAAAAAGAATTTGTCTGGTTCGAATTTGAAAGTCTGAAACATGAATAATTGTTCTGCTTTCGACAGCAATGAAATATTTGACTCAAGAGGCGGATAATTCACACCAGACGGTGCCTTTTCAGCATGAAAATATCTTATACAGAGTAAAATTTATCAACAAATATTTTATCCCCAAGTTACAAGATTGCTATCATATCATTATTATTGTTTCATTTAAGGGTTCATTTCTTATCTGTGATTATTAGACAGCCGAAACGAAAAACTACTATCCCTAGTTTCGCATAAAACAAAGATTTTCCGGGGGCAAAATGCGTATGGGAGTATCGAATAACGAAGGAGTAGTGCTAGAAATGACATTTCTTGTGTCTACAGAGAATGCAATTTTTTTTCAACTAGGGGAGGGTAGCGTAAGACGGACGCTTTTAACTTTTTTTTTAATGTTAATGAGAGGTTGAAATGTTGATGAAATTTAATAATTTTTTTTCAATGTAGAGAACAATTCTTTCCCTTTGTGATGAGCCTAAATTGAGCTCAATTGATAAATTTGTTTCTGAGTTATAAATTATTTTAAAAAAGTCTAAAGTGTCCATTTTACCCCACCCTCCCCTACTCAATCCACTTTTGCGACAAAAATGTTTCATTCCAGCGCTCTCTCTGCATGTTTGGCAGAAAAAAATGCTTTTTTGATAATTTTCAAAAAGCTATTTGCTCCGAGGGGCTACTCACTCCCGAAATCACGGCGCCACTTTGGCATGCAATCCTTTTGAAATCAAGTGAAATCACCAAAATCACTGAAATTAAGTGATTTCAGCTTTTCTAAATCATTTTTGAAATCATCCTCGAAATCATGTGAAATCGTCTGAAATCAATGAAATCACCAAAATCAGTGACGCACTAGCGTAGTGCGAACCGTGCAAGTAATTCGTGATTTTGAAATTGATACGCCTGCCAACGATGATAATAAAAGGCTGTACTTACTGCCATAGTAAAATGGTAAAAATGGACCGGTTTTCATCGTTATTATTTCAATATTGCAATCAAATGAAATCATTATTTGCCAGTTATTATCGTCAATTTTCATTTTCATAATTTGACACAACCCGTTTGGCCACACTTCTATTATTTATCAATTTTATTTCTCTGAAATCACTGATTTCGAATTAATGGAATCATTTGAAATCATGAAACTACCTCCCATGACTCTTGAAATCACCAAAATCATTTTTTCCAAAATCACTGAAATCTCCGCTGAAATCACCCGAAATCGACTTCGTTTCGAAATCATGGTGTCACTCAATTATGGAGTGAGTAGCCCCTCGATATTCTCGGCACAACTAAGACTTGTTTGAGAACTTCGTCGTTTTTCTCTCAGTGTACCCACCTTCGTTGGACCAAGCTCCGCAGACAACTCTCTTCTTGTGTTTTCCTATGATGGGAATTCTCCTGGCGTGCATGTGATCGTAAAGAGCCAAGTTACCCCTCTGGGTGCCGACAGCCAGGAGACAACTGTGCTTCGCCCACATCATGCAGGTCAGTCCATCCCTCACTCCGGCGTCAATCTGTGATTTTTTGCCAGTGGTGGCGTCCCACAGGGTTATCATCGACGAGTTACTAGCTATCATAGCGAGAACGTCACCGTCCGAGTCCCAGCCGAACCCAGTGCAGAGTCCCATTATTTGGATTCGCTCCTGGATCTCTCCCTGTCTGTCGTAGATGGAGACCACTCCGTCGCAGCCTGTCGTGGCCAGGTGAGTGCTGTTCCCTGGCCGCCACGAGGTGAAGACACTCCCGGGGCCGTGGGGGTGGTCCAATTTGTAGAGAACCTGGGGGATGATTCGGTGAGTGCCAACAATCAGGTTTACAACCTAGGCTCTTTACCTTGTCCGATGTCATTGTGTCGGGGAGAGAGAGCTAACCCCACTGAGACGCTTGATCCCGCACTTCGAAGACAAGTACTCACAATTGGGTCACATTATACTTACTATGGGGATGAAAAGTTATTTCTGATATTGATTTATTGAACCGGCTTGTCAACTACAGGTAAACGCTTCTTGGTACTTTCCATGTTTCCATTTCGTTTTGGAGCGTCGGAATCGCTGAATCGCGTTTACAAACACGCTACGGCTGGGGAGGGAGTGGGGGGCGCCGAGGGGGCTGGAGGGGGGAGGGGAAATTTACGGGTTTGATGTGTAGGGGAAGGTGGGGTAAAATGGACACTTTTGACTTTTTAAAAAATATTCATAACTCAGAAACAGACTTGTCAATTGAGCTCATTCTAAGCTTATCACAAAGGGAAATAATTGTTCTTTCAATTGAAAAATAAGATTATTCCATTTTATGAACTATTCAACACGTAATGAACATTTCAAGAAAAGTCAAAAGTGTCCATTTTACTCCACCCTCCCCTAAGGGACTTTGAGGTACAGGTGCATTTGATTTTGATCGGGTGGATTGATGGGATTAAAAAACTTTGATTCGGAAGGAATTTTTGATGCTTTAAGGGGAGACTCCTGTGAGTTTTAAAAGTCGAGGGTTATTTGAGTGAGACTTTTTCTAGTGAATTTGTTAGATTTTTCGTTTCATGCCTACACTTAAGAAGAACATAAAGAGGAACTTGAAAAAAATTTCCGAAATTTTTCATCAAATGCTTGTTGTACTGATAAAACGTTGTTCCCCCCTTGAGGAAAAATTTTTAGTTGAAATCCTATAACTCTTGAAAACTTCCAACTTGAGAATTTTTGGCTTCAAATTAAAACTTTCGAAAATCTTATTCGAAGACCTTTGAAATTAAAAAATAAGGTATTGTTTTTTGGGTGTAAACAAACCCCGCGGTAGACCGGCGGAGTTTTCGACTCCCCCCTCAGTGATTCCCTAAGTGACCAGTCCCTCGTAAATTTCCCAACAGAAACCCACGTGTTTGCCTACGGCGAACTATTGTCCAACCGTCGGCAACTTCTCCAACAACGCGTTCCCCTCCGCTTCCCCCGTTGATCGTGCCATTCTCTTCCTTCCTCCCCTCCATTCAAACTCCTCCAAATATCGACGCATGAGCAGATCATCTGTGTACAATCGTAAACCTAGGAGTTGCCTATAGCAGCTATCACTCCCACCCGCGCTTTTATCACTCCACCCTTATCGCGAGAAATAGAAAGAGAAAGGGGGTTGGTAAGGTGGAAGGGGTTTTCTCCATGACACGAGTGTTGTGGGTGGATGGTAGGACTTAGTAGAGCAGAGCGCGCACACCGCGATGCTTTGCAGTGTTGCTGACATTGCTCTGTACGTTGGTTTCAAAGTTATTCTTGTTCAAGTACTTCACTCTGCGGAGATTGTTATCGTTGGGGCTGCACTGCCTCCCGGCGCAGGTGCGTACATCAATTCCAATCATTGAATCATTTCCCGCGTTATTTTCATCGTTACGAAGTTCGCAGAACTGTTATCATGCACCGAAGGTCGATGCCTCGAAATAATTTGTTAATTTGGAGCGCACACGGAGGGTTTCACCTTTCAGTATGACATTTATGTTCTCAGAACCTGTTGTACCCTCAATTATTGACTGCCCACTTATTAAATCCGTCGGTCCAATGAACACTGAAATTGTTTTCATTGTCGCACTATCGCTGCGAGTTGGGATCTCTCAACAGGTGGCAATTTAATATTTTTTTTGCCTTCTTTTGATGAGTGGAAAATAGATGGGGGTTTATAACGGAGTTGCGGGAAAATCCGGGGGATTTGAATAGAATGAATGCCTGCAGGTGTCTACCGGTGAATCGATATCATTACCTTCTTCGGCCACGCGCTGGTATATACGTCGACACTTCAACGTCGACCTCAACCTGCGGGGCATTATTGACGTGTTATGCACCAATTTTTCGGTTAACAGTGTTAGTGTGTTAATTGATGAGAAGTTTTTTCTCGTGTGGATTAAGAATGTTCATGTGGAAACCGCGAGAACTCGGGAAAATTTTGATTTCTGATTATGAATGGAAGCTTTGCAATGGTTGATTTTGACGATTTTATGATTTTGTCTAGAAATGATGTAGAATGTCATGAAACGTGAAGATATGTTAAAAAATTCGTAAGTCTCAGCCATTAACGGTCATCACAGCGATTTAATATAAAAACCAAGAAAAGAAAGAAATGAGGAAATTAAAGAAGTGGGAATATTGAAGTGCTGTGATGAACGTTAGGGGAAGGTAGGGTAAAATGGACACTTTTGACTTTTTTAAAAATATTCATAACTCAGGAACAGATTTATCAATTGAGCTCTGTCCAAGCTCATCACAAAGAGGAAACATTGTTTTTCAATTGAAAAATAAAACTATTCCATTTCATGAACAATTCAACATATCATAAATATTTCAAAAAAAGTCACAAGTGTCCGTTTTACCCTACCCTCCCCTAATGGCTGAGAGTTGGGAGTTTTTGGAGATGAATGGAAACGGTTGGAATACTTTTGGTGAAAAAATGATGTTTTTAGAAAATGTGTGTACGTACGGATTTTTTTGAGCCATTTTTTATAAATCTTCACATAATAAGTGGGAAATTGTTTTCCACAGAGCACACTGAGAGAAAAACGAACAAAGTTCTCAAACAAGTCTTACTTGTGCTAAGAAAATAGTTTTGAAAATTATCAGAAAATGATTTTTTGTGCCAAACATGCAGAGAGTGCGCCGGAATGAAAAATTTTTGTCGCAAAAATAGATTTAGTAGTTCAAAAAAAATTGCATTCTCTGTAGACGCAAGAACAGTATATTTCAGCACGTGTGGGGCAATTTCGTCTTTAACGTGTGTGGGGTTTACAGCATGAGCCGAAGGCGAGTGATGTAACCACACACGTTAAGGACGAAATTTCCCAACAAGTACTGAACAAAATTTTATGTTACGAAGATTTTATGTCGCTTCGCGTCTCGTGTCTAATTCAGCCGGTTTCAGGCATGAGTGGCATAAATGTCATTTCTAGCACTACTCCTTCGTTATTCGATACTCCCATACGTATGCGAAACAAGGGATAGTAGTTTTTCATTTCGGCTGTCTAATAATCACAAACAAGAAATGAACCCTTAAATGAAACAATAATAATGATATGATAGCAGTCTTGTAACTTGGGGATAATAATTTTTTTTTCTTCTCGTATACCCTTTCGGGTCTTTACGATTTGTTCCCTTCCCACCCCCCTCAACCCCCTGTACCGCATTTGCCGAAGGGAGGGAAAACCTCATTCGAGGGAAAAACCTGCCCTGGTACAGTCGTCCTTTTTGACGGGACTACCGCTCGGCAGTGAAACTGTGAGAATTAGAGCGCTATAAATTTTGACCGCCGGTGCCGGGAAGCGAACCCAGATCATTGGCATACGAGTCTAGCACTCTAACCGCACGGCCACTACCGTCGGTTGGGGGATAATATATTTTTTGATAAATTTTCCTCTATATGAGATGTTTTCATGCTGAAAAGGCACCGTCTGGCGTGAATTATCCGCCTCTTGAGCCAAATATTTCGTTGCTGTCGAAAGCAGAACAATTATTCCTGTTTGAGACTTTCAAATTCGAACCAGACAAATTCTTTTTTGGCAATTTTCAACTAGCGATTTTGTTGGCCCAATCAAGACATGTTTGACAACGTGTTAATTTTTTTCTCAGTGCATGGTCAATATATTTTTTTACTAATGAAGTAGCAATTTGTTTCCGAATGGAATTTTTATTGTGGTGTATTTTAAATTGAATTCAATGATCCGTTGACTTCAACATTGCCTCAACTCTCAAATTTTTTACCGTTTTCGCGCACATTCAAACCACCCAATAAGGCCATGCTACCAATCAAGAATCTTTCAATTTGCTAGTTTGTTATCTGTCCGAAAACTTCAATTTTTTAATGTCGAAAAAAAACTAGAGAGTATAACGAATAAAGTCATACACGTTTATATGTACGAGAAAACGCTTTAAGGGGTAACAGAATGCCTTTGATTTTCCAATTTTTTGAACAAATTTCGTGCCAAAAGTTATCGAAATTTTTACAAATCCAAGCACATTAATCTCCAGGAAGCGATAATGAAGATCAATGTGCTTTGGGTTAAGAAAATATTAATAGCTTTGAACAGGAAATTTATTTGAAAATGTCGAGGAAACGGAGACCTCCTGTTACCCCTTAAGACTATGAATTATTGAATTGAAAGCGGGAGCAGAGAGCTCTAATGGATGCAATGTGTTACGTTTCATTTTTTCGATAGTATATTGTGCATTAAGGGCAGAAAGTCATGTTTTCCCGTCCGAGGTGCACATGCTATTTTTTAACACGCCTGCAAAGAAAAGTTTGTATTTTGCAGGAAAGTGAGTACTTCCCGCCCTCGGGTGAAAAGTACTCACTTTCCTCCCGCTCATCAGGGAGCAAAGTACGAACTTTACGTGCAGGTGTGTGAAAAAAATGGTTTTCTTGAAAAAATATTTGGAAACCAACTCTTAGCTTATTCTATAAACTCTGAAGACAATTTCCCCCAGAGAAAATTGCCCGAACTGCCTGGATATCCTTAAATTCTCGGAATGCCATAAGAAGACGAAAGCAAAATAGTATATTCCGTCCCGGCGGGCGCAAAGTTACATTTCCCTCCCGCTTCGCGGGAGGGAACTCTGACTTTGCGCCTACGCCGAGACGGAAAATCGCGTTCTAACCACGGGAAGTAAAATAAAGGACCCTCAGCCGCGTGCTTACCAACCTCGCCTTCGGCTCGGCTGGTAATTGCACTGGCGGCTGAGGATCCTTTATTTTCCCTCCCTAGGTTAGAAATATACTATTTCTAACCTAGGGAGGGAAATAGTAGGTTATCCTAGGTAGGTTAACCTACGAAGGGAAATAGTAGGGTTAATAGTAGGTAGGTTATAATAGTAGGTAGGATTTCTAACCTAGGTTAGAAATATACTATTTCTAACTTAGGGAGGGAAATAGTAGGTTATCCTAGGTAGGTTAACCTAGGAAGGGAAATAGTAGGGTTAATAGTAGGTAGGTTATAATAGTAGGTAGGATTTCTAACCTAGGTTAGAAATATACTATTTCTAACTTAGGGAGGGAAATAGTAGGTTATCCTAGGTAGGTTAACCTAGGGAGGGAAATAGTAGGGTTAATAGTAGGTGGGTTATAATAGTAGGTAGGATTTCTAACCTAGGTTAGAAATATACTATTTCTAACCTAGGGAGGGAAAACAAAGGATCCTCAGCCGCCAGTGCAATTACCAGCCGAGCCGAAGGCGAGAGAGAAAAAATTCCGATCCGCCCAGCCGGGATACGAACCCGGGTCTCCCAGTTACGCGCCGGGCACTCTTCCAATTAAGCTACCGGGAACCACGGAAATTCTCACTCCAAATTCCAAAAAGGATCCTCAGCCGCCAGTGCAATTACCAGCCGAGCCGAAGGCGAGGTTGGTAAGCACGCGGCTGAGGGTCCTTTATTTTACCTCCCGTGGTTAGAACGCGATTTTCCGTCTCGGCGTAGGCGTAAAGTCAGAGTTCCCTCCCGCGAAGCGGGAGGGAAATGTAACTTTGCGCCCGCCGGGACGGAAATGAATGTTTATCACCGATTTGTAACAAGCTTTGATTATTGCGCCTATTACAATCATAAACGGCTTCCTTTCCACTCACGTGACTGTCGATCCGAGCAGATATCGTAACTCTTGTGATACATGTTAAATCGTACTTATGTTACTCTGGAAAAATCTATCAAGTACTAGTCGACCAAATAATTATATTGAATACGTGACCTCTTCACGGCTGTGGTTAGTGGACATCTCATTGCATATTCACCTTAAAAATCTAGAAATCGATTATTAGTTGTCGTATTCTGTACGAGGTCATAGGTACATGTCTATTTTAAGTATCCAAATTGAAATCGCCTCTTGTCAACCTGCACTCGTAATATTGTACACTGTTAGAAAACCATTCCTGAAATTTCACATGAAAAGTGTTGGGAATTTTCAACAATGACTAATTTACATTAAATTTCCGTATACGTGGCCGTCTGCATGAAAAGGGCACACTTTGTCGACACGGAGAGAAATATTCAATAAAAATAACAGATTTTTTCCGTGATTCCGGAGCGAAATGTCGTTGTAGAAAATTTTACGGAACTGTCACGGAATTTTTCCAGAGAAAATTAAAATAGAATTAAAATTTAGAGAGAAAAAATCCCGATCCGCCTTTTTTTATAATACGTTTATTCACCTTCATAATACAATAATAAATTCAAATTATGAGTTAACGTATTGAAGCTCATATCAATTACATTTAAAGGATTCACAGTTCTAAAAACATTCAAAATCAGTACAATATTTAATGTTTATAACATAATTATACTCCGTTTTTAAAAAGTGAACAGGTTAA